GTCCCAAGAAATCATGGGAGGTACAACTTCCCTATTCCCCATCGGCAGACCATATACCCTATGAAAGTCGATTGGTGATATCTTCATGCGTGTCCCGTCAGGTAGCTTCAACGATTCTTTCACTGGATTGTATTTGTTCATTACGAACAGTGCAAAATGGTTGTTTATCTTTGTCTTCTTGATTGATATTAAGCCGGCTAGGCCTAATATCTCAAGTTGCGCTTTCTGCTCATCTTTTATTGTCCTTGCAATTGCAGATACTCTTGTTGGGCTGCACCTTGTGCGAAAACTTTTTCTTTGGTTTACCATAGTGTACATGAATGTAGAAATTAGAAATAGTCTGTTAGCATGCTTTTTACCATAATATACCATATGGTACCATAATGGTTTCCTACCATACCAAATCAAACCATATATTTATCACATTTTACCATATGGTAATTACATGCAACCATGTCTTATAACATCTTACCATATGGTAACGAAGTAAAACACAACAGGACTTATGGTTTCCTCCATTTTTATAACATGAAACCATATCTTACCACACCTTACCATATGGTAACAAACTAAAACACAAAAGGACTTATGGTTTTTTGCTATTTTAAAACATGAAACTATAGCTTACCACACCTTACCATATGGTAACAAACTAAAACACAGGAGGAGTTATGGTTTTTTTGCTATTTTACAACATGAAACCATAGCTTACCACACATTACCATATGGTAACAAACTAAAACACAGCAGGACTTATGGTTTTTTGCTATTTTACAACATGAAACCATAGCTTACCACACATTACCATATGGTAACAAACTAAAACACAGCAGGACTTATGGTTTTTTGCTATTTTACAACATGAAACCATAGCTTACCACACATTACCATATGGTAACAAACTAAAACACAGCAGGAGTTATGGTTTTTTGCTATTTTACAACATGAAACCATAGCTTACCACACATTACCATATGGTAACAAACTAAAACACAGCAGGACTTATAGTTTTTTGCTATTTTACAACATGAAACCATAGCTTACCACACATTACCATATGGTAACAAACTAAAACACAGCAGGACTTATGGTTTTTTGCTATTTTACAACATGAAACCATAGCTTACCACACATTACCATATGGTAACAAACTAAAACACAGCAGGAGTTATGGTTTTTTGCTATTTTACAACATGCAATCATAGCTTACCACACATTACCAAATGGTAACAAACTAAAACACAGCAGGACTTATGGTTTTTTGCTATTTTACAACATGCAATCATAGCTTACCACACATTACCATATGGTAACGAAGCAAAACACAACAGATTCTACACCAGTTCAGCAACGCATGGTAACAATTCGGTAATTTAGCGAGTTTACTACAATTTTCACATGAAGAGTGACTGAAATACTGTTTCTATTGTTCTGTGGATGGATTTCGAAGAAAGAAATGAGGTTTTACCTTGATATTTTTTGCGAAAACGATTTTTGAGCCTCGTTGAAGTTGGAAACCCTTCGTTTTTCGACGAAGAAGCGAGAACAGTGTATCGTTGAATGATTCTTCGAAAACCTTTGCGAAAATCGTTCGATTTGAAGTTTATTTTGTGTTTTTTTCTAGAAGTTTTTGCTGCGATTTTGGTGAGAGAGTTGAGGATCGGGAGGAAGAATGGAGAGTTAGAGAGCAGAGGGAAGTGGAACTGTCGCTTGAACGGTGAGAGAAAGAAGGAGAGAAGGCGGGACGGTTGTCGTTGTCACGTCTGCAATTCAAATTGTCAGAGACGTGATTACTTTTTTGCCCCCGTGTGTAGTTAATTTGCATGATCTGACGGCTGGAAAGATGGGGCGATGGACGGTGCGATGGATGGTTACTGACAGTTACTGAGGGGTCAGTTACTGAGGTGATCCGGACCCGATTCTGTGGCATCTTCTAAAAAATTGAGTTATTGTAATTTTGCCATCAACAGGTACTTGATATGATATCAGAGTCTACAATAATTAAGAAATATTGTTTTCGAATTATTACAATTCTTAATATTAATAGTTGAGTTAAACACGATATATAACGAGTTTATGCAAACTTCGAGTCCATTAAGTAGCTTTCGTCTGAGGAAGCATTTAACGAAATGATATAGGATTTATTATGGAATATTTAATTATTAGACGTACCGGTTATTGACGTAGAGTGATGAACCTGCGATATAGTTATTGAAATTTGTTGTAGGTACATGAGTGAAAATGTAGAGGTAGTTTTCCTCCCTTTGTAATTTATTTTCTTTTGACTTCTTTGTAGCTAAATGGTAACTGATCGATTAAAGCTTTTGGGAAGACGTTAAAAACCAAACAGTGATACTCCGAACTTGCTTGAATTTCTGTAATCTAACTTTGGGAGGTAACTAAGAAGTGACAGAACATCAAATCTTGAGAGTAATTTACCTACTGGGCGTGGGGAAACAGGATAATGGATCCTTTTTTGGCACATCATGAGATTTGGGGCAAACAGATTTTGATAATGACCTTTGCTTTGTTAACTTCTTCACCAACAATCTTGTGAATTGGTTGCTTTCCCTTGTCTCAAGCTCATTTTAGTATAATTTTGTTACTGTTGTGGTTGCAATGAAGTTTGATAACGGAGGTACAATTCTAACAACACAAAATAGAAAATATAAACATATTTGGTTGATAATTCAAAGAAATTATGGAAGTTTGTCAGTTTGACAAACAAAAGCATAAACGTATTAAGTTGCTTCTTTAGACTCCATTCACTGTCAAGGTTGAGATTACATGACGAGTTATGAGAAAATTGAGAAGAAAAATATGATAATAATTTTAGCGATAAGATTTTTGAAATGAGTTTTGTAAAAAAGAAACACGGCCATGAATTCCCAGAAGCTGCATTGTCGTTGCCTCTTACCTACCTTAAATTGAGATTAAGGTGATTTATAATTTTGAATTACAACCTATCAGAAATGTGACTTGCTGTACTAACTTCACTTTTTGAAGAAGAAAAAAAACTAGGATTGTTTGAAAAAGCATGAAAAAGCCAATGATTAAGTGTTCAAAAAGTTCGGCAACTTATGAGATAAAACTTCTAATATTATCCAATATCTTTAGTTTCTCGATCCATAAGGAATCCTTTGAAATGGAAAAGATCATTCCACATTCTTGTGTTATGACTATAATACATTCATGTTTTATAGCTTAAATCAAGACATAAATAGATTCTTTCTCTACTTCTCACCTAGTCTCATATAGAGGGATGACAATCAAACCCATGTTCACGGGTATTCGACTGCCCTCGATCCATTCAACGCGGGAAATTCCTGCATTGATCGGGTATGGGGCGGGTATGGGTAAAACCCGCAAAAAGTTTGATGGGTATGAGACGAGTATGATTTTAGCCTCCCCGCCCCATACTCATACCCATACCTGCCCCAACAAAAATATTTCTTCACATATGAAAAACATGTGAATCAATTTGTAACTTATCAATAATAGTGAGTATAACTCAAGAAAAATATATAGAAGAAATGCAATTGAGTGGCCACCCAAATCAAAATCTAACTTCTTTCTCTCAATTTTTACTTCACTCTTTCACTTTTTTCCCTTGTTAACAAGATTATGTTAGTTAATTATTACTTAATAGATGTATTAGTGTAGAGAAGAATGATTTGGATGACATTGTACTCTACTCTGATATGGATTAATCGATGTTTTAGGATAAGATGCTTTGAATCGTATTAAAAATGATTCTCTCTTTGTCGACTTCATGATATAGTAGTTGCGTTTAATGTTATAGTTGAAAATCTACATGTAAAATATTTAGTATTATAATGCTGGATATACAGGGCGGGTATTACCCATGGGTACCCGAAATCCATGGGTATGGGGATGGGTTTGCAAAATCTTCCGCGCATGGGTATGTGGCCGGTATGGATATAGATATTTGAAAGCGGGGATGAGAATGGTTTAGGCAAACCCGCCCCATTGCCATTCCTACTCATATACATTATCCACATATACAAAAAGACGTAAGATGGATTTCAAGTGAAAATCTAAAGACCTCATCTACTTCGGAGTGGCAGAAGTTCCTAGTAACGTACGTAAGCCAATGGATTCTCACCAGGAGCAAATCTCACATGAAACTACAACAGTAGCGAAGCAAGTGTTGGGGATCACAATGTCACATCGAGGCATGGATGTGAGGTGAGACCACCATTGTAGGAGGGGGTTACAGTGAACTCCAATTGATCGTTCATCCTATCAATACCGGTAGATAGTAATTAGAAAGCAGTTTGAGATTGGAACAGTTGCTTACTGAGCGCATACACAATCAATAGGAGAGTGCCGAGTTGTTCCATTACACGTGCAGACATATGAAGGGACATTAAGAGTTTCCAACTGGCTTGACAACTTGTTTTTTGAAAGCTAACCCTGGAACTCGACTTTACGACGACTATAGCTCTTCCCACAACCATAGGAGACCCTACCCCTCAAAATGAAACACTGTTCTTAAGTTTCGTAGTCTCCTAAGGCGAGAGTGAGTTGTCACGAAACACGATTACGGTCGATCACTTACTAGTAGAGGTCTCTAATTTATGTGGTTTACTGACGAAAAAATTCTAATGTTGGTAAGTTGGTTGGAGCAGACCTTAAAATCTAGTTCTATATCCGATTGTTGCCTCCAAATTCCAGCAGGGACAGCAATTCGACTTGTGGATTGTGCTCACATTGGTCCACCAATTGGGTAAAGCTCGGCCCATACGCAAAAAGCCCTCTGAACATATAGTCCAGACCAAGTGAGGCCCAAAATGTTTTCATTTCCGTTGCCGGGACTTGAACCCGGGTCTTTCGGGTGAGAGCCGAATATCCTGACCAACTAGACTACAACGGAGGTATGAGCTCAAAGTTAAACAACAGGTTTATAAACACTTGAGAATCTATTTCTTTGATAAAAGTTCAGACGCTGTCAAAGTAGTCACAAACTGACGAAAACTCTCGGAAGAGGAAAGTGTGAGAATCTATAGGGGTAACCAGCCGAAGCAACGGAACAGCTGAAACTTCTCACTTCTCAGTCCTACAATGGCGGCTTTCAAGCACATCACCGTCGGCGTCTGCAGTCCGTCTCCGAGACTCATCGCCCCTTCCTCCGTCTCGCCTCCGCTGTCTCGCACGCCGCCGAGAAAGCTCTCCAGGGTCTCCACCATCACCTGCTCCTCCAGCAAATGGGCCGAGCGCCTCCTCGGCGACTTCCAGTTCTTCGCCCCCGCCGCCGCCGACCCTTCTTCCGAGCTACAACAACAAAAATCCTTCTCTTCTTCCTCCACCACCGCCACTCTCCCTCCTCCACCTCTCCCTCGTCCCCCGCCTCTCGCTCCTCCCGAGCGCTACGTCTCAATTCCTCTCGATTTCTACAAGGTGAAACGAAAATGCAGTTCGAATTTCCGTTTTCAGTCACTGATTTCGTCAATTTCTTTCGAATTTGTTTCTGATTGTCGGGGAATGGGATCCTAAACCCTTCGTTGCTGGCTGCTGAAAGGTTTTGGGAGCTGAGACGCATTTCCTTGGAGATGGAATCAGGAGAGCGTACGAAGCTAGGGTTTCGAAACCGCCTGCCCACGGCTTCAGTCAAGAAGCTTTGATCAGCCGTAGACAGATTCTTCAAGCAGCGTGCGAGACTCTTGCCAATTTCAATTCCAGGAGAGAATACAATCATGGCCTTATTGATGATGAGGAGGACACTGTCCTTACTCAGGTTCCCTGGGACAATGTACTTTTCTACCTCAATTGCTGCTATATCCTTATTGGTTAATCAGAATTTTGGAAGGCCGGAATCAGGTTTAGGCTGAATGTATTCATTGATTTGTATACAGGTACCTGGGGCTCTCTGTGTGTTGCAGGAAGCAGGGGAGACCGAGCTGGTTCTGGAACTTGGTGAGACTTTGCTTAAAGAAAGATTGGCCAAGGGGTTCAAGCAAGATGTGGTGTTGGTACTGGCTCTTGCCTACGTTGAAATGTCGAGGAATGCTATGGCGTTCGACCCACCTGACTTCATTGGGGGGTGTGATATGCTAGAGAAGGCCTTGAAGCTCTTGCAGGTACTCTCAATTACCACTTTTTTATGCATAGTCTAGAAAGATGTTATTTTGTGGTCAATTAGTTTCTCTTTCATTTAATTGTTCAGGTTGTAGGAAGTAATTAGTGAATGAAATGATTCGTCACTAAAATGGTTGTGAAAGAATTGAGTGATCGGGAGATTATTTTGTCTTGTATTGAAAGTTTTGGAGGTATTGAGTTAAGACTGAGACAAGTGCTCACAAGACTTGAGTGTTTGCTTTCCCTCCATTAACTTCGAATGATAGTTCAAGATGATGACTTCAAATCTTGTAACTTAGGAGGAAGGAGCAAGCAGCCTTGCCCCTGATCTGCAGGCACAGATAGATGAGACTCTGGAGGAGATCACCCCTCGTTATGTTCTAGAACTTCTAGCATTGCCCCTTGACGATGAATTTCGGACGAAAAGAGAAGAGGGTCTCCAAGGACTGCGTAACATATTGTGGGCTGTTGGAGGAGGTGGAGCATCACCGCTTTCTGGTGGGTTCACTCGTGAAGATTTCATGAAAGAGGCCTTCTTGCACATGACATCTTCTGAGCAGGTTGATCTATTTGTAGCCACTCCACCAAACATTCCACCTCAGAACTTCGAAGTGCATGGAGTTGCCCTTGCACTAGTTGCCCAAGCTTTCATGGGTAAAAAGCCTCAGCATATACCATATGCTGACAATCTATTTGAGCAACTCCAACAGACAAAGAATGCAAACAGTCTGAAAAACAACCGCGAGATTGAGTTTTCACTAGGAAGAGCTCTGTGTTCTCTGCTTTTGGGTGAGCTGGATGATTGTCATGCATGGTTAGGGCTAGATCAGGTTGACTCACGTTATAGAAACCCAGCAGTTGTGGAGTTTGTGCTGGAGAATTCGAATCCTGATGATGAAGACTATCTTCGTGGGCTTTGTAAGCTGTTGGAGACCTGGTTAACAGATGTGGTTTTTCCCAAGTTTAGAGATACCAAAGATGTAGAGTTCAGGCTTGGAGACTACTATGATGATCCTACTGTCTTGACCTACTTAGAAAGCCGGGAGGGTGCTGGTCGATCTCCCCTCGCTGCTGCTGCTGCTATAGTAAGGATAGGTGCTGAGGCATTGCAGAAGGTTTTTCCTTTGGGCAGCCAAGACAGTGATGAGTTCCAGGAAAAGATTGATAATAATAACAATGGCACTGTAGTGGCAGAATCTGTTGGTGAAAAGCTGAAGGATGCTAGTGTGAAGGTCTTGTGCGCTGGAGTTGCAATTGGACTGTTGACTTTAGTAGGATTAAAGGGTATGCCTCCAAGAGGTCGGTCTTTTGGCCAAGGAGAGATTGACCAAGCAACGGCTTCTTCTGATGTCACTGCTGGTAAGAACTCTAATGATATGTTTAACAGAATAGCTGGACTATAACTGATTGTTTGTCTCCTGGATCCTGTCTCTTATAAGATTCATTTAATATGGGATGGTTGTTAGAAGGAGACAACGTCACTGAAGCATTGTCAAGACAGCATGCAAGCTTAGCAGAAGGCATAGTCCGAAAATGGCAGAATGTCAAGGCTCATGCTTTTGGAACTGATCATTGTCTGGGAAAATTGACAGAGGTAAGAAAGTCTACTTCTCTTGCTTAGCCTCCATTTTGAGCAACTCTTTTGTATGTCTCGTTCTTGCTCCATTACTGAAAGAAATAATATTCTAGGTATTGGATGGTCGAATGTTGAAGCTTTGGACAGACCGAGCCGCCGAAATTGCAAAGCTTGGCTGGGTATACGACTGCACGCTATTGGACTTGACCATCAACAGTGTAACCATGTCCTCAGATGAAAAACATGCTGTGGTGGAAGCAACAATAAATGAATCGATCACCTTAACCGATGCTGTTCACCCTACGAGCGGCCCAAACACTACGACCTACGCAACTAGATACGAGATCTCTCTTTCTGATTCAGGATGGAGAATCACTGAAGGAGCATTATTGATGTAAGGAAAATCAATGTGTTGATCTAGTAGTGTAAGTAACTCTGCACCTTTGTCTATATATAGTCTTCAATAATATAGTCGAGCCATCGTGAACTTTATTCAAACGAAGAAATGTCCTCTGCGGATGTTTTGCAGCCTGCATCCAGTTTAGTTAGAATTATGTTGTTTTCACGAGAGGTTTTCTCTCTTTGGTTGATAATGCCAGTTTCTCTTTTGTGATTCAAAGTGATTTAGTGCTGGTTCCTTGCCCATTACCCTTTCTTTTACCACGTACCAAGAAAAAGCGTGAATAAACAGTGGAAGTGAGTCAAAAAAATTTACCTTTTTTTACTACACTCTCGGCTTAGACGTCTTTTCTCTTTCATTTACAAGGAAAGACTGATACTTCCCCAAACTGTCCCAAAAAATTTTAGTTGTGTAACTGTGTATACAAAAGGCATCTAATCTTTTTTAGCAAATTGCATAGAGATGGTATGAGCCTCTCATAGAAGGGCAGACATGTTGTCTCTCCAGCTGCCCTTCTGGTTAGCTGACGGGTTTAAGAAGTTGAGCCCGAATAGCTCCTTGGGCGCATATTGTGGCTCCACGAACCCGATCAGCTTCACCACAAGGATCGAACTTTCCCTAACGTGTCTCATGTTTCTCAAGTCTGTCCACAACTTTCCGGCCAGCTGCAATGCTCTCTGCTTCGTGTCGAGTTCTATGTTCCATTTCAGGTAAATCTCTTCCCTTTCCTTTCTGCTCAACTTCTTCTGCAGTTGCTTGGCCAACATCATCCTCTCTCGGTTGAGAAGCTTCGGACTGTGTGAGAATGGACACGAGTAGTGAGTACCTAAGAGGTGTATGTGGCGATCTGACTATGGATGTTATGTAGAATGAGAAGCAGGGCAGAATCATACCTAGAGGTGTAGGTGGCAATCTGAGTATCCACAACCGGATTGTTTCCACGAGCAGCTGTGTCCTTGATGAAGTAGAGTCTCCTGAGCTCAACTTCCAAGTAAACGTTGTCCGAAGGATCTCCTTTGAAGAGCAGGAAAAAGTAACTCCTGTGGACCAATGGTATGTTGCATTTCGCCCAAAGCTCGATGATCTTCCTGCGGTACCTCTCAAACTTCTGTGACCAGTTAGCAGGGCTCTGGTTCGAACTCCTGTTTGTCTCCGAGACGAGGTCTCTTGCCCGTGTTGTCGGCATCGCTTCTGGAATTCTTCTCGATGGCTCCACAACCTGCACATAACCATCTCCATTTACATGACTATAACCATGGTGTGCAGCAAGGCTGTGAGCAACCAACTAAACTGTTTCCTGCGATAAATATCCAATAGAGGGAGTGTGTTTTTGTGAGTGTGTTGCTTACCGAAATGACACCAAGTTCCCTGGTTGGCTGCTTTTGGTGCTTCATCATCTTCTTGCCCTTCTTCCATCCTGCAACTGAATCCAGCACACTCGTTGTATCATCGAAATGAACATCAATCTCTTTAATGATCTCGTCCTCTTTGGTGCCAACAACACAGCTTTCGGGATAGTCGGAGTCTTTCATTCCTGACTCGTGCTCCATCTTGAGACCCTTGTTGTCCTCCTCCTTAGAATTTCCTCGTCTCTCAGGAATCTCCTCGTCGGTCGCACTAGAGTCTCTAGCATTGCAGCCGTCCTCTTCACTGTCTTCTTCGTCCTCTTCTTTCTTGGACCAAAGCGCTGAGGGAATAGTCACCACCACGACTTTCTTGCTCTTACTTCTAGTCAATGACACACCTTTCCCTGAGCTAAAAGGTGAAGACTGGTTCAAACTCTCAATCGTCTTCTGCAATTCCTGAACCCTCCGCTTCAGAATCTCGTGTATGTCATAGGAACCCACGTCACAGAGTTCCTTGGTTTCCTCGATGGTCGTCAATGCCACCTCAGCAGTTTCATCTGCAGTAGTAGCCATTTTTGTCGATGGGGTTTCTCCCATTTCGGCACAAGGGACATCCCTGCATATGTTCTCTGACTCACTGGTGTTGCGTTGAGGGATCTCCTCCTGCAGAGAGTAGGCTTCCAGGCTTGCTTGTGTCTCAAGTAATTGCCTATTGGGAACAGGACTAGGCATGCTGAACTGATCGTACTCCCTTTCGGTGTTGCTTCTTACTAGACCTGCATCAGCCTCCGATACTGAATTCTCTTCCACTCTGAAGAGTCGGTCTTCCCCGACCGATTTCAGCAAGCTATCGATGTGGGATTGTGCGAGATCACGCTGCCAGGTCAGCTCCTTGATCTCTTTCTCCATCTGCAAAAGGTGACCGACATTACTAGACATCGAAGGAAGCAAGGTAGTCCAATTTCTATGGTGGTATTGACTACCATGGCATCAGCAGGGGCAAGGATGATCAAGAATAATAAACCTGCTCAATCAAAAGGTCTTTCTCCCTCAGCAAAGCAGCAGTATCGTTGGTTTTGGACACCGTTCCTCCGAAGCTGCTCTTGGCCTGGCGCTCGAGCTGGCCCTCCAACCTGGAGATCTCCCTCTGCAGCTGCTTCACCAGGGCCTTGTCGGTCATTACCACATTGACCTGCGCGCTAGTCGACACTTCCTTGGCGCAGCTGGCAAACCCGAGCGTGTTTCTTGATTGCTCGGCGTGGCAGCGCGCTGGGCTCATGGTGCAGATTATGGCAGTCTTCGCATTGCCTCCCAAGCTATTCTGCAGTATTCTCGTCAGCTTGGATTCTCTGTAGGGTATATGCCCGTTTCTCCCCTTGCTGATATAAAAGTTTTAGTCATGAGCCATGAATCAGTAGCTAAATGGGATGATGGACCTTAGTTGAAGGAAGATTGTTTATACCCAACCTTAGTTTGCGGATTACGGTTCCCAAGGTGAGCAAGCTGCGGTTAATATGCGAACCTTCTTTCAGCCTTGTACCAGTCGACCATGTTTGAGAAGCTCGCTCACTCCCAGCCAAATCAATGAAATTCTGGAGAACCCAATAGATTAGAAGGTTACAATTATTCGCTCGATCCAGCCTGAAATCAGGCTGATCAATGAAAAATAATTGAGAATCAAATCTGAGTTAAAAGTTCATTCAATCAATCCAGTCCTATTCTCAGGAGAATCCATCAAATGAAAAGGAATTGCAACTGCATTCATTCAAAATCGGGCCAGTAGTGATTTTTTTACCAGAGAAGCAGTAAGAGTACTCAAATTCTCTGCACCCAAGTTGTCACGAGCACAGCTTTCCACCGTCTGCAAGATGAACCAGAAGAAACACCAAACAGGACGAGAAATTTCAGCAAGAGAAGATCTACAATGGGAAGAGGGAACCGCGAATGAAATAAAACAGCATGCATACCAGCCGAAGGATTTGATGAGATCTGGAGCTGAACTCGTTCAAAGCCGTCTCTCCTATGTGCCTTTGAGCTGCACAACATGAAAATCTCATCTCAGCATTGAGAAGTGTAGCTGCACTGTGTTACAGTGCTTATGAGTAGAACCTGCTTTTACCTTCACAAATGGAAAAGAGTTCCTGCAGGTGGTTCCAGTCTTCAATCGGCTCCTCGATCAGCTTATCAACCACGGTTCCTCTCTGCTTCAGATGAACAGAACATGATTATCAGCTAAAAGCTCGAAACCCATTACGCTGAAAGCCAAATTCAAGCAGGAAGATAATTGAGAGTTCACCTCTGGATCATCCAGGAGTCTGAGCGGACTGGGATCGGAGCTAAGCAAGTCTCTAACAGCTTCGTTATAGATCTCAATGGCGGAGAATTTCAACACAAACTCTCTTTCTTGGTTCTGAAACACCCAGAGAAACCAAATCAGTTCACCTAAACAAAACCACTCTGGAAATTCAGAATTCCTATCTTTCGCCAGATTACCTTGTAGATGTAGTCGAAAATGTCTGCCAAGGCGTACTTCGTCACTCCGCTCATCGTGTACGTTTTCCCACTGCTCGTTTGGCCGTACGCGAAAATGCTAGCTGAAAACAACACACAGTAACATCAGATACATTCATTCAACCTTCTCTGTCACGGTAACGGAAGAGAAGACCGAACTCTTACCATTGACGCCGGTGACGACGGAGAGAGCGACTTCCTTCGCCGCTTCCTCGTAGACCTGCTTCGTGCCGGAATCCGGTCCGAACACTCTATCTGTAGCGGGGGGAAAAAGAAAACAGATCAATTCAATCTTGACGGAAGAGGAAATGGAGACTGGAAATGCTCAGATTGGGGATGGATTTTGTTTTTTAGGGTTTTACCGAATGTGAAGGCGGCAGGGAGCATGGAGCGATCGGGCATGGAGGATTTGAAGATGAGGGTGTTGGAGCTGATGCATTCCCAATCGGAGACGTCGTTCTTCGCCTTCTCCTTGTCGTTTAGCGGCCTCAGCCTGATGGCGACGTGAATCTTCTCCGATTCGCCGGCGACGTCGCCGGCCATCGACGCCGACTCTTCCCCGACCCATGACCCCAGCACGCTCCGCCTTTCGCCCCTCCCGCGGACTGTAGAGCTCACTACGCTCATCTTCTTCGTCGTCTAAACAGAGACGAATTCGGGGAGAAAAACAGAGCAAGAACGACCAGAAGACGAATTCGAGAGAGAATCAGCTCTGGATTTCAGATCGCGCGATCGCTAAAGGATTCTCCTACAAAGAAACAAAGAAACTTCTCCACCGTGGCTGCTGTCGTCGGAGAGGGAAGGGAGAGAGAGCAGAGAGGAATCAACCGGAGCAGGGGAAAAGGATATCCAAGCTCCGGCGATACGCGATTTCCGTTCTTCCTTCCCTCTTCTCTGAGAGATTTGTCAGCTCGTCGAACCGTTTCGGTTGTCTCCTTTCCCTTCCGTCCCAGGCCGGGGAAAAAAGCTTTTCTGAGCGTGAATGAGCTCCGGCCGGCGAGAGGGAAGAGGGAGAGAGCAAGAAATCAGAAAGCAGTAGGCGTAATTCTCGGTGAATTCCTTTCTCCTCTCTCTTCCCTTTGGCAGGGGAAGGAGGGAAGGAGGCTTTTCGTTGTTCAAACATGGCTATTTTTTTCTTTTGTTTGTTTTGAATGGGAGGAAAGAAGGGAAAACCGCCATAGCTAAAATAGGGAATGATTCCTATCCATTGCTACCACCACCTTTCCCAGCAACATTTTCCCGGGTTTTTCTTTTCCGGCTTTCCCACTATTTTTCGTACTATTTTCCAATGGGCTGTGGTCCTTTTGGGCATTTCTGGCCCAACTTCCTTAAATTTGGATTGGGCTGGCGTTCAAAACGCAAATTTCAATTCTCGAGTCTACTTATATCACTTGTCGAGTCTACTTATACCGTTATCAAGATTGGGTTAGGTGGACACTGGACACTAATATACAAGTCTCGTTCCTCTTGTATTTTCGATGTGATACTTGGATTATACTATAAGAATTAGAGGTGGCAATTTCAATCCAATCCACCAATCCAATCCATCAATCCATTAAAAATATCCACCTAATCCAATCCATTTAAATCAAATCCATTTGATCCAAATCCAATTGGATTGGTGGATTCATGGATTGGATCCATGGATCATTGGAAAATTACGGTTTAGTACCTATAATTTTTATTTTTTACATTTTAGTACCTAAAATTTAATTTTTTATACGAGAATTATCATTGGAAAATTACGTTTTGGTACCTAAAATTTTTCATTGTGACATTTTAGTACCTAAACTTTTTACGTTTTATATATTGGTCCTTGGTTGAGGATGTCATTTGGATTCATGGATAATCCACCAATCCACTTGATCCAATCCATGAATCCACCAATCCATTAAATCCAATCCATTTGATCCATGGATCCACCAATCCAATCCACCAATCCACCAATCCAATCCATTTGCCACCTCTAATAAGAATCCTTCCTTAAGATAATGAGCACGAACTTTATGTCCTTCCCTCAATTATCTTGATCCGCCAAATACTTATTTGTATCAACAGACTCTTTGGCACAGTGATTTGCCATGTGCAGATCTCACTTGACTGCACTTGATTCGTAAAAAAAAAAAAGTCTATTCCCATGAACCTGACCGACAAATACATATCTAAAACTAGGGATGACAATTACCCACCCATGGGTAATTATACCCAAACCCAAGTAGACCCATTGATAATGGGTTGGGTATGTGTGAAGTGCATATGGGTTTGGGGGTTTGTATATGGGTTTGGGTAATGTATGAATATTGCTTCCATAATCTAAATGGATATGGGTTGGATATGGATATCCATTTACTTGAGGGTGTTTTAACTACACATGCAAAAATTGGACCTATTTGTAAAACTTGAAAATTTTAGGTACCAAAATGTAAGACCAAAAAAATTTAGGCACTAAAACATAATTTTCCATAGATATTTTGAGGACTTATATGCAAAAAAATTAAATTTAGGTACTAAATATGCATATATATTAAGTTTAGGTACCAAACTGTAATTTGTATTTAGGCATGGGTACAAACCCAAATCCATTTGTTATAAACCCAACCCAACCCAAAGTAAATAGTTATGGGTACAAACGGGACAGGTTACGGTGATTACTATAAAATAGTAATCACCGTGGTTACTAAGGGCAAATTGGGTATAACAAAAAATTTATTAATGATCTTTTTTAATAAATTACATTTTAGGAAATTACATAAATATATTAAATACAATTTTTCTCTCTCTCTTTCTCTCACTTCCACAATTTTTCAGCCAGATCTCTCTTCCTTCTTTTTCGCAATCTTTCCTTGATTTCGTGAATCCAAACTAATACCGCTGCAACAATAAATCAATACCAATCCATTACAAAAATACTACCATTGTACAAAACATCAATACCATTCAAGAAATAAAAACACTACCATTTCACAAAACATCAATACCATTGCAGATTTAATCACTACCAATGCGACAAAATCAATGTAAATGTAACAAAATCAATACCAATGCGACAAAATCAATACCAATGCGACAAAAATAATACCAATGCGACAAAAACAATACCAATACGACAATAACACTACCACTACGAGAAAAAATGACTACCATTTAAAAAAAATCACTACGAAAAAAAAAGACTACCATTTAAAGAAAAACATATCAATCCTCACTGCCACGTCGCTTTGCGGAACCTGGTCGCGTACGAGGCTGCGAAGGAGGCGGAGCGGCCGACCCTGGCGCGGTACGCCGATCTGATGAACGAGGTAATGGAAGAGGAAGGCGTTATCTTCGCCGCCGCCGGCGTAGCGCTGGAAGTGTTCGGGTGCGGGATGGGGCTGTCGAACGGCGGCGACTGCTTTCGACATAGGCGCAGTCATCGGGTACGCCGGAGAACATCCAGGGAGCCTGCCCGGACAGCATCCTGGACGACATCGGCGGCGCTTTCGGCATAGGCGCAGTCATCGGGTACGCCGGATGAACGCGCCTCGCGTCGGCGGCAGCTCCGACGTCTGGGGCGGCCTCTTCTCGGCCTGGGTGGCGCTGACGAGGGCGACGATGCTGGAGACGAGGGCGAAGTAGGGTTAGGGTAGAAGTAGGGTTAGGGTAGAATATATAGAATAATCAAGTGTGGTCCTTTTTTTTCTTCCAAAATTATTTTACAGCAATTTTAACCGTAAGATTAAAAAAAGAGGAAAGAGAAGAAAATAAATAGTGGATACTGATGTAGCCACGGTGGCTACTAGAAATTCAGTTTCCACCCTAACGCATTCCGGGTACAAACCCCATCACATTCTACCCATATACATCTATTTGGATTTCATACCCAACCCAATTGGGTTGGATAGTAAAAAACCCATGGGTATGGGCAAAATTGCCATCCCTATCTAAAACCTGAAGTTATGGAATGTTAGTACGCCAAACTGATGTCGACGATACTGTGCCGGCAAGGCCTCGAGAAGTTCTTACTCGACATTCTAGATACCATCGAATAAAGGGATCGCGCGGCAGTGGAGATTGGAGATTCGGAATGCAAGGGATGGATGGATTAACTGATAAAGACACTCGGCGGAAGAGGTTGGGCGTGCTTGGGGAAGTAGACGTGGGCTTTATTTGGGGTTGAGAGTCTTGAGGTAGAGTTTGAACTTTGAAGTCCAAGTCTTTGTCCAATCCGTAGCATTAGTATTTAGTAGTCGGTAGAGGTAGGCTGAAGCAGTTTTTCGCTGAAGTTTTAGAAAAGTATTAAAAAAAATGCAGTTGAGATGTTTGGTTGAAGAACTATTAGAAGTGTTTTTTTAATATGAGAGGTTGTGTATGCGTTCCCGGCTTTAATGCGTCAGCTTTCCCAGCAGGTGGAGGAATGGGTGGGCTTGCCGAGGGAGGCTCCCCTCCAACCTCCTCTCCCCGACATTAGTCAATCTGGTCTGATCAATCCTGCTGTTGGGATTGTGTGCCAATGGGATGGGGCTACTAGGAAGGGATCTCACTCGGCAGGGGGGTGGGTTCTCTTCGATTTGACGGGGAATGTTCTCCTGGCTAGTGGGGTCCAGTTCCCGGGGATTGATGAGCCAGCTGTGATGGAATTGCTTGTGTTCCGGGAGGCTGTTAACTGGTGTTTGGCCCATGGATTATCAGAGGTAAGGTTTGAAGGGGATGCTAAGGTGATCATTGATAAAATCAACAAGGCGGAGATTCGAGATAACCAGCTGGGCGCGGTTCTTGAAGAAGTTGTACATGTTGTTAGCGATACCCCTGGTTTTAGTGTTCGATTCATAGGTCGACGTAGTAATAGGGCAGCCCATTTGGTGGCTAGAAAAGCCCTCGCTTTGTACCCGACTATGAGTCGTTTGTTTGACTTTCGAGCCTGGTTAGTGTCCAGGATGTAACTAGTTTTTTTTAATCAATATATGATTATCTTTTGTCAAAAAAAAAATAAATATGAGAGGTTATGTAAAATGATTGTAAAGGACTTATAATATAAACTATGAATAATATTCTAAACAATAAAAAGTAGTCAAAATGGATCTTGTTATATTTATTTTATATTAAATAATATGATTTTATAATTTAATTTATTTTTAAAATGATATAAATGAAATAAAATTATATTTTCTGAAATAAAGTTATATTTTCTGATAAAGATAATCTTGTATTTTAAAAACAGTTTTTCGCAGATTCTCCAAATTGGAGCTTCTGCTTTTATGTTATACAAAAGCGATTTTTGGCCTTGTCAAAAGCCGAGCTTTTAGAGGTGTTTGGCGTTGCTTCAGCTTTTGAAGCCGAAAAGCACTTCTAAAAGCTGGGCCAAACATAGGCATAAAAGGTAATGAATTTATTAGCCAAACCTTTTTCAGATTCTTTTTTATTAGCCAAACCTATCGAAATACTAATAATTAGCTAAATGTTAACTTCCAGTTAGCAATTTTGTTTGTAATATTGACTTGGCAACATGATACTGATTTGGAAGAGACACATGAATGTTAACATTTTAAAATTTTGGTATTTTAACTAAGAAAAGAGTTACAAAATTATTAACAATTACTTAAAAATAGCTTAGATTTTGACACATTACGAAAGATTTGACTAATTAATAGCGTCTTAATAGTTTTAGATAATATAAAAGAATCAAAAAAAGGTGTGGATAAAAAATAAACATTACCATTATATAAATGTAAGCTCGGTATTAATCCAAAGGAATAAAAAAAAAATAAACTAAAGATTTGTCGTCACTTATGTTGTGTTCTTATTTGTGAGTTTCGAGTAAACTCTGGAATCATGAGTTACGATTCGTCATTAACAAGCAAAAAGAGTAGTGCTACGACTACGAGTCATGCAACATGTCCTTTTTTGTACAATATCAAGTAGCACTGGGGTTCTCTTGCTAGTTGCTATCATTAATGTATGTGTTCGGTCCATATCATTGGTTGTTGTGGCCAGTTTAGTAACTCGTCGAGTTCCAATAGAAAGTATCTACCCGAAAAGTAATCTAGTAACTAGCAATGTAGACACTTCTTGCTTTGTTTTCTGTAAATCCGTCTAGTAATTGTGACATGTAAATGGTTTTATTATCTATACTAGGCAGATTACTATACTAGATAATAAAACAATTTTGTTTATGTAAATTGTGTGGATTATCGATAGTAAATAAAGTATTCACTCACAAAGAAACATAGTCAATAACAACATACTCCTAGAGATCAAGATCTTCATTTGTGTGGATTTCATTTTTTGGCCAACATATAAAAACTTTCATTACTCTATCTATCAACAAATTATGTAGAGAAAATTAGCTTTCTTTATGAATTAGATACAATTAAATTTGTATCCAATATCAAATTGGCATTGCATAACATAACATAATAAAAATAATAGTAATATTCAACGAAAAAAAAGTGATTCAAAAACATTCCGAATCATTTAGGTGACCCACACACAACGCAACCCACCCATCACCCACCCAAATAAATACGAGCAGTAAATTTTCAATCCACGATCAACTCACACCAATCACCACCCACTACTTATACTATTTACGGGTGGCTCAGTATCAAATCACAGATGAACCCACATCCCACCCCAAATCATATCCTAATATGAATCAATTTGAGAGGCAAAAACTGGCAAAATAAACATCCCAATCTTTATAAGAGACTACAAATGAAATGAGATGACATACATACAAGAATACACTGCAAATCTGCACGCACCAAAATACATACGCACACTGTTTTGCCCCCAGCCGTACAAAATTTAGATTAGTTGTCACTCAGCCAAGTAAAATACACACATACCATACATGGGTTTGAACCATCGAGTAAAATCTATCTATACATTATACACAAAGAGTTACAGAAACCGGCAAACCACAAAACTTATATAAGCATGGAAAAGCCTTGGCTTCTTTGATTTGCTGTATCATCAGTCTGCAAGTTCTCTCATGATGTGCGAGCCAGCACTCAAGCGTCCAGCTGCTTTTACTGCTTCTTTCAAGTCAAACTCACTGCTCTCAAACACACCAAAAGAACAGCAACATGAATTCCTGGTGCTGGGTTGGAGAGTCGAATTGTTGAAGGGTGAAAAAACAAGAATTTCCAGCAGATATATGACTTGTGAGCCATCTAAAGCGTGATTACTTACTATGGATCGATACAGCATGTACCGAATTTTGTCAAAATTCATAATCGAAGGGTTCAAAACAGATAATCGAGATAGTACATGAACGAGTTTGTTTTTTCTGATAAGTGAATGATTTCATTAGAACTCGTTGAGATCAGCAGAAGAAGAGGTACAAGTTTCTATCTCATCTTTTTTGTATTTTCGGAGCAAAAGAATAATAGCCATTGAGAAAGGCGAACAAAAAACAATCAGCATTGGCTATAGATTACCTATTGTCTTATTAAGCAACCATAGGAGGAGGGCTAATTCAACTCCAAATATGGTGTGAAGCCACGTCCTATCCATCATGAACCCAAACACCGTCATTCCTGCCTTGTTGTTCTCTAGATACGTCACTAGAAAGAAACCAAAAAAAGGTATCAGTCATCTACATCAACAGATCAAAGGAGCCCTTAGCCTCTGGGTATATGCAACCACAAGTTACCTAGAGCTTGTCTCTTTTGAAAAGAGATTGTATGTGCGAAAATCGGCACCATGTTGGAGATATTGGAGTTCTCATCATCGTCATCTTCTTCTTTATCATCCCCATCTTCATCCAACACCCACCCAATATTGATGGGGTGCACATGACCACAGCTGGGATCAGATACCTGATGGCTAGTTGGAGTGTCGCCATCCGCGATGTTTGGATCGTACGATGAGTTGATAGTTGCGCAGACGTGCCACTTGGCAGCAAGGCTTGTAATGGCCTGTGCTCTGTGGGTGATCTTCGTTGCACTGCGCAAGCATATGAATAGCCCTATCACCAGATTAATAGAGCAGAGCTGCCAACACACAACCATAAGAGATAATCAGTCGGATGATTCTGTAATATCCAGCCTTGTTTGTAGAATAGGGTTAACGGCTTGTTTAACAAATTCGTACATATTTGAACAAACAAGTCCTTTGTACTGTGCCATTTATTTAGTTCTAGATCAAGCAATCAGCATAGATAGATGTGGTACCGTGAGTTCTCCAGCCTCATAGATGTTGTTAGTAGTAGATGACCGAGTAGTGACGAACAATGACATCAGCTGACTAGCGGTGACAAGGAGCAGAGACGAGAGAATGAACCTTCTGAACCGATGGCTTATAATCCTTAGGTTCCTTCTGATCCTGAGATGCTCTTTCAAAATCGAACCAACCTCGCTCTCAGTCTGAAAGAAGTCCGCGAACTCCTCCAGTCTGAGTATCTGGAGATGGCAAATGAGCCGGTATAGAATGCAGACCAGGATGAAAATCGAGATGCGGTAAACCCAGGAGGCCAGCTGCAATATGCAGATGATTGTGTCGCTCAAGTACATGTTCTCCACATAGGGTATCTCGAAGGCTCCAGTAACATACCACCATATTCTGTATGCACTCTCAACCGCAAAACAGGGCAGCACAAATGTGCACAGAAGCCCCATTGATCTCTGTCTCGAGCCAAAGATTACCAATTTTAGTTCCGATTAAAACAGGAAATCAATGTCTAGAATGTAAATGGCAGAATTCTCAACTCAATTTTGCTTTCTATGTCTAACCCTCCACTCAGATACATCACTTTAGGTTCATGTAGGATAATTTTGAATCATGGAAGAACCTTCATCTTCCAACTAATGGTTCATTCGTTAACTTGAATCATCGAGATGAATGGTTCTTGATAAACCCTCGACATTTATCAAATGATTCAAACCCAAGATATGACGAATTATAGAGACAAATTGGTGATTGACCTTTACGGTACCACGAATTCAATAACTCGATCTCAGATATCTCTCCTGGATCATTTAGTTATTGACATGTATCAAACTCCACGATCTCACAGTTTTTATTTAAAGACAGATATGATGAACATAAGTTAGTAATTACCTTGAGCTCCTGCTGGTATCCTCGACGAATCCGGGGGCTCTCATCATCCAACTTGTCCAGAAACAGAAACTTCCTGAACCCATACTTGCGAGACCAATAAGACAGGCAGAGGAAAGAAATGATAGCACAAAGAGACAGAGACAGCTGCACCACGGAGTCGTAAGGCCGCTGATGCTCCTGATCACAATCAGCGCACAAAAGCAGAAAGTGGGAGACGATCGGGTTGACAACGGTGAGAAGGAAGAACACCGACCACGACAGACACGACGTCCAGAGCTTGGATTGATCCTCCACGCATAGAAACTTTAAACATAATCTCAAGCTCTTCAATTCGATCCTTTCCCCTTCCCCTTCCCTTCCTTCTTCTGCAGCATCCGATAGCTTCTCAAGCTTGGGTATCACGATCAGGGCAGCGGTTGCTTCATTTTCCATTTAGCAAAAATTTGAGGACCGGCGAAGATGAATTTCCAGTTGAAATCGCCAGCCCAATACGGCGGAGGGGGAAAAGAGAGGAGTTTTACAATGGGATTGGTCGGAAGTCCGTCCGCCGGAGAAACTGGGTTTAGGGTTTCGGATGAACCGGAAAAGGCGATGATTGATTGTTGATTACAAGGCAGGCTGGAGGATGGGGGAAAGCTGATCGATTGATTGATTGGGAAGGGAGGGAAATGGATTGGAAGCAAAGAGAGAGAGAGAGATTTGAGCGGCTGTGGGGATGCCGGCGGAGATGGGGTGGAGGGAAAGAAATGGGATCTCTGGGTTTCAGGAGGGGACGGCGGGAAAGGTGACTTTGCGGGAAAAATGATTTATTGAGGAATAAATAAATAGTAAAAAAAGAAAAGGAGAACCTATGAGATGTTGAAGAGACAGGAGACGTGGAGATTTTATATTTGAATTTCTTGTGCAATCAATTAGGGTTAAGATTTGGGGTTAATAAACAAACAAATAATTAGACGTTAAAAGAGGGAAAAAGAGGGCAGGTCAGGTGGTTTCTGTGATTTCTGCAATTGTTGGTATGTACAATCAGGCTGCCACGATACCTCCAATGATAATATTTGCTTTTTTGTTTGTGATTGTGTGCTTGCTTTGATTGCCAACTTACAATCATTTTGGCCTTTGCTCTGGCAAGGCATTTTGCACACATATATAGGATCAATTGGGTTACGTCGAGACTGAACACTTGAGTATAGGGAGCGGTTATGTGCCGACCTCATATGGAGGCAGCACCATGACAACTGAAAATTAGGGATAGCAACAAAATTTGGCTTCACGAGTATTTTACCCGATCCAACCAGGTCAAAGCGGGTAAAATCTGAGTTGACGGATTACGGGTTGGATTCGAGTTGAAACTCGTTGCATTATTCAGCGAGTTAGGTTAGATTCGTGTATGGGTGAACATTACATTCACCTTATTAATTATCATTCATGGATGGGGCTAGTTCATGTATGGGGGGCTTCTAGGTTAATTCATTAATGATGGCCTACATACATTGTACTTGGTGGAGAGGATGCCTATATAAACAACCCTCTCGCTCACTTTTCATTCATCCAGAAATGGAAAGTTTTTCATCTCTAGAGTTTTCTCTACACTTGTGAGTTTGAGTGAGTGCAAGCTAGGCTGGCTTAGTGCTCTAACGAGACTTGAGTGCTAAGTGCCGCATGACCAAGAGTTGGTCCGTGACAAGTGGTACCAGAGCCCCGCTCGTGACTCATAAAGAGAGAAAGAACCTCGATGAGATGGCTTCTGGATTCGTTCGTGGTGACGAGCATATGAGCTAGGCCTAGAGGGGCACGTCTCTATTTCATGACTTAGTGGAAAGGTGGGTCGAGTCATTGAAGGAGACGTTGAGGACCAAGGTTATAGGGCTCAAGGGGGAGATGAGTCTCCTAAAGAAGTCTGCAGAAGAGTTTGGTGCATTTGTGGCACAACCTAGCATGTGCATGGATTTTTCATGGCCAACGGAAGAGTCCGGTGCGTCCGGGGCAGAAGCTTTGCAGCCTAAGGAGCAAGAGGCATCCGAAAGCGATGTTGCGTCAGAAGAGTTTGGTGCGTCTAGCAACAAAACTGGTGGGAGCTACGAGAAACACTCTCTTATACATGAGAGCACATGTGTTACGGAGGTAAGCGAAGATGATTAGTTCCTTCACCTTGCTTATTTTGTGATGGGACACATCGTGTGCATGATTTTCAGAAGAGGAGGGAGTTTCCCTCCATGTTCGTAGCCAATTACTCGGCAAGTGAAGAGGAGGAGGCTCCAAGTGAGGAGGGCCAGCCTTTCGAGTTGGACAACCTGAAGGTGACGGGCGCAACAAAGGGAGAGGAAGGCACTCCTTATCCTGATGTGGGTCTAAGCTTCATAGAGGCGAAGCTCGACGAAGGGAGGACGAAAGCCTTGGTACGGGACAATGCTCACGAAGATCTTCTCAACACGAATGCAGCGTTGAAGCTTGCCATTCCGCACGAGAAGAAGATAGGAAAGTGGCGGGTGGTGCCACTAATGGAAGGGGCACTCGATGCTTTTAAGGCTTGCATGACAAAGCAAGCCAAGGTAGCAAAGGAAATACCCAACATGCGACGGATGAGGTGCTTATGGTCTCGGCGCAAAAGGGCGAGGAGAGCACGACATCTTGGTGCAGTGGAACTTGTGCAAGGACCAAGGCCACCCTTGCCTCACCATGAAGCACATCATTACCACACCGCCAATACGAAAAAGGCGTCACGACGAGAACATCGTGAATATGGTGTGGGAGAATGTCACAGAGAAGATTCTAGAAGACTCTAGAAGGATGTAGGTACATGCATGCATGCATCTTCAAATTCATGCACCAACGTACATGCATCCACTTTATTTATTATGATTCATGTATGGGTGAACATACATTCACCTTATCAATTATCATTAATGTATGAGGCTAGTTCATGTATGGGGGGACTTCTAGGTTCATTTATTAATGATGGCCTACATACATTGTACTTGGTGGAGAGGATGCTTATATAATCAACCCTCTCCCTCACTTTTCATTCATACAGGAATTGAGAGCTTTCCATCTCTAGAATTTTCTCTACACTTGTGAGTTTGAGTGAGTGCAAGCTAGACTGACTTAATGCTCTAATGAGACTTGAGTGCTAAGTGTCGCACGGCCAAGTGTTGGTATGTGACAATACCCGCTCACACACATACTCCCACAACCCGTCGATTAATCGTGGATGTTTGTCTTTTATATTTAATTTAACAATTTATATGGATAATTTGTGGGTTTTCTTATATACACTAGATTGGTGTTTTTTGTATGGATAATTTGTTTGAGAAGTTGGTGTTAAATTTTTACCATCAGAACCTATTGGTATCCATGAACCCGCAGATACTCAGTTGTTGGGTTTGAGGTTCCACAACCCGTTGGATTTTTCTTCGGGTTTTCTTTTATGGATATACCCGTTGTGTTGAGTTTGAATTTGGCAGAACCCGAGTCAACCCGACCCATTGCCATCTCTACTGAGGATATGGTGGGTATTTTGATGTTTATTGTTTTGGTATAGGTGCATATATTTATTTTATAGAAAACTGAATGTATTCAATTAACCTGGCTTAAAGGCCATTTAAATCATATACAAGCTTATCGATAATTACAAGTGGTGGACGATCGGCCCACCAGACCAGTTCGTCTCAGCCTGTGGAAACATGAGCCAATTTGTATGCAACCTGGTTTGCTACTCTGAGTAAAAAGCCTACTTTAATACTCTTGCTTGCTTGCACACCCTGTGATTTCATCCCCAAAAGGCGGACGAGGTCACAAATTCTTCTGGTCTATGCTCTGTCGTCTTCCCCCTGTTCAATTTTGGAGATGAGAGTTTGACAATAAGCTTCAACCACAAGAGACCCTAACCCCCTTTTTCAAAACTAAACTCTTCTCTATCTCGCTCCTTCTCTCTGCTTCTACCTCGCTGTTTTCTTCAAGTCATCTCAATTCTTTTTCTTTCTTTACTGCCATCATAGTACTTCCTCCGATCGCCTAACTAAAACCAATACCAATACAGAAAATCAGTATCATTATACATCAATCAATACCACTACGAAAAATCTATAGCAGCTCTCGAAAACCATTACACCAATACCACTACGAAAAATCAGTATACCACTATGAAAAATATATACTGATAGGGCTGGTATTCGGTTATGCGGTTAACGGTTTAACCGATAATCGTACCAGTAACCGACGATAACCGGGAGTTGTCGGTACACGGTGACAACATTGGAGCTGTCGGTATACCGTCTTCTATCCGGTTAAAAACCAGCGTTTAGTCGGTATACCGAGTAAACCGACTATGCAGCCATCGCATAGAGGACTTTTCCTCGTCTCTCGACTCTGTCTCCACTCAGCAATCTCTCCCCGTCTCCAGACTCAGCGGTTTTGCAGGTCCTTCACCGGCCACTCGTATTAGACTAGCCCCAACTCCAGTTGCGAAGGAAATCAGTCAACGACCACCCTCCGCCATACCTCAGTTGCATAACGTTCCCGGCGGATTGAAAGCGGTGGCTTTCTCAATCCAGATCTAAGACCGACATTGGATGGCGACGATGGAACACGCGTTGAATGGAGACAGAGGATTCCATCGATTGTTTCTGCGCTTGAGCAGCAGCCAAACGCTATTTCAATTGACGAATCGAAATCTCGAGGGTTGAATCTGATTTCGGCGAATCAACAAGATTGCCTCTCCATTGCGGCAGCGGCAACGACAGGTGGGGAGATTGAGAAAGAGAGGAAGTGGGCGGCGATTAGAGAAGGGAAGAATTTGGAGGAGAGAACTGGAGAGTCGAAGAGATGGAGATTGGATTTGCATGCGGAGGGATTTGAGGCAGAGCAGCCGGAACTAAGGCGGGGGAAGATTCCGATCGGAGGTTGGTGGGGAGGTTTGCCCAGGTGAAGAGGATGAGCATGCCTACGGAGAGGAGGAAGAGTAGTTGGAGTCGAAGGCTTGCTGAGGAAAAGCTTGGAAGAGAGAACTAGGGAGTCGAAGGGAACTGGGGAGTCGAAGGCTTGCGACAGGGAGAGGAAGAAGTTTGATGGTGACGATTGAAGTTGCCGGTAATTCGGTAACCGGTGGTTGTTAACCGTTAGCCGGTTTGTCGGTAAACCGGTTAACCGGTTTCCACCCGGTGTCGACAGCCATTTGGGAGGTTTGGGTATACCGATAACCAGCTAACCGTTTAACCGGTAACCTGCTAACCAGTAACCGTACCGATTACTAGCCCTATATACTGATACCAAAATCAAACCTATACCATATTAAAATAACCAACCAATACCAAAATAAAATACTACCAGAACAAAATCAATACCAGAACAAGCTCAAACCATTACTAGATTAAAGATGAACCAATACCATAACAAACCTACCACTTCAAAACACTGATACCAAAGGAGAGAGGCAG